GCCAGCCCAGTCAGTCTTTTTTATGGGATTTCAGTGTGGATTGATGGATTTGCCCCTCCTGGTGCCGCTCTGGGGGTCTCTGGGCACAGCCCCAGCCCCTCCCCTCCCCTCCCCTCCTGGGTGGGGTTTTTTTGGTGCCCCCGGGTACCTGAGGGTGGGAAGGGCTGTCAACCGAGTCCTCTGAGGTGTCTGAGGATGTGTCACTGCTCCCTGGAAAACGGGAAACATTCACCACCCCCAGCACTTCCCAGGGGGTTAAAGGGGGAAAAATAGGATCAGGGAGAAGGAGCAAATTTGCTCCAGAGTGAAAATTCAAAACCCAAAAAGCATCGGTGCCATCTTCCTGGGGAGAAACCAGGCAAGGAGAGCCATGGCAGCAGCTCCTGCTCAGCCCTTTGAACACCCTGGGGTGTTCAGAGCTCGGTGAGGGACAGACACCACTAAAATACCGTCCAAAAACTCAAATCCCACCCAAAACCTCCAATTTGGGGCACCACAGGGCCCCTCACCTGCGTAGGCTGGCGCTGGGTGCTGTGCCATGGGTGGCTGTGCTTTGTCCCCTCCTGGTGCCAGGGCTGCAGCTGGGCTGGGCTCAGAGCTGGGCTCAGGGTTGGGCTCAAAGTTAGGCTCAGAGCTGGGTTCAGGTCTTGGATGCTTCCCAGAGCTGCTCTTCACCCGTATCCCACGGGAATTTTGGTCTGTGATGAGAGCAGAGTGAGCCCCCGGCTCCWGCCGTGCCCAGCACACCCCAGTCCCACTCCAGCAGCCCCAGTACAAACCAGTTCACCCCAAAATGGTTATTGCTGTGCACTGCAGCGGCCACAGATCCCAAAATTCAGTCACTGAGTGACAATCACAGTGTCAGGGCCACTCTGTGCAAATTTGGAATGGCTCTGACCCAAAACAGAGCTGGGCTTTGAGCAGCAGTTGGTGTGAAAAGCTTCCCTGAAGAAATCGTAATTTAATCTGAATTATCCTTCCCTGAGCTGGCTCTGCTGGTGTTTTCTCACCAGAGCAATAAAACAAAATGGTTTGGAAGGAACATGAGGTTTTCCAGCCCTCAGTGATGCTGTCCCCATCCCCTCCCTGCCCCTTCCCCATCCCACACCCGTTCCCAAAGCGGGAATCACCAGGAAAAGCCCCCCAGCCCTGGAATTACCGATTTTCCTGCTGAGGAGGATGTAAAGGACCAGCAGGAGGAGAGCATGGGTGACAACAGAGATGGCAGCTGAGGTGACAACAGGAATCCAGCTGGGCAGGAGAAAAACACTCAGAGTAACCAAAATCACCAAATCATCTGCAATCCCTCCACGGCTCCAAGGTTTGTTTTAGACACAGATTTGCTGGCAGCTTTCGGGTTTGATTTTTTTTGTCCTTGAGGTGTTGAGCCCCTGCTTTTCAGGAATGATTTATGAGATTAAACGATTAATCAAATTAATTAAAACGATTAATTTTTGCGTGCCTTTTCMTTTTTCAAAAGCCTCATTGCCAGTGGGAAAATGTGATGCTGGAGGGGAGAGAGGAGCTCCAGGAATGATGGAATTACAGAATTATGGAAATAGGGAATGGGTTGGGATGGRAGGRACTTTTGGGGGTCACCCCTGCCATGAGCAGGGACATTTCCAGCCTGGCCTGGGATGTTCCAGGGGTGCTGGGAATGGCTCTGTGCCCTTGAACTCACCACTGACAGAAGCTCATCCTCCTCACAAGGCTCTGGAAGGACACACAGGGACACCAACACCTGATGGCAACCAAAAAAAATACCCCAGTTGAGCTGAAAGTCAAGCTCAGTGCCTGAGAGCAGTGCTTGGACATGGAAAAATCAAAATAAAAATTCCCAACCCTCCTCAGTGAGAATCCT